TAAAGACTGGAGAAATAGTTAACTTTCTCACCATTAGATGACCACTTAAGAGTAAGCTGAATCATTTTCTAAATTGAGCTGAATAGGACAGGAGCTTAGCCATGTAGATCACATGTATCACAGAGTGGTTGAGGTTGGAAGGGACCTCTGCAGGTCATCTAGTCCAACCCAGCTGCTCAAGCAGGGTAACCTAGAGCAGGCTGACCAGGACCCTGTCCAGATGGCTTTTGAATATCCCCAAGGATGGAAACTCCACAACTCTCTGGGCAACCTGTTCCGGTGCTCTGTTACCCTCACAGTAAATAATCTTTCCTTAAGTTCAGACATAATTTCCTGCGTTTCAGTTTGCACCCATTGCCTCTTGTAGATTCTTGCATTTAGGTTTCCGAGCCTCCCACGCATGGAGCTCCACTCGTTCCATTAGAGTGGATCCTACCTGGACTGTAGCTGCGAGTCCAGAATGGTGTGGTTCCTGCAGTACTGGTCTGACATCATGATTGTCAACCCCATGCATCATAAATCATGCTAGGTACTTAGGAAAACAGGCCACTGAATGATACTCCTAATGTATTTATTTTATAAGAGATGCTGAAAAAATTTATAAGGTCCATTAAAAAAACAGCAAAACTTTTTGAATGATGAAGAAAATAGAAGACCTTAAAGATCTGAATTTGTTCAGCTTATTAGAAAGAAGATGGAGAGGTGATGGATAGGCTCTTTCATGAGCAGCTAAAGAACTAAGACCTGAAGGGCTTTTAAATCCACGGTAAATGACTGGAAGCATAAACCAGAAATATTCAAACTAGAAAAAAGGCTAAGAAGTGAGGGTACATACCCATTGGAAAAAAGTGCCAGAGGATTTGAGGGATTCTTAACATTGTCACATCAAGGCCAGGTGCCTTTTTCAAAGTACTTTAGTCAGACAGGAAATACTGAGTTTAGTTTACTAATGTGGAACGGCTGTGATTTATAGGATGGAAGGGTAGATATTCTTCTGAAATATCTTAAATTCTACTTTTACATTTTAATCCTGTTGGCCTTGTTGAATAACTTAACATGGCATATGATTTGTCATAAGATCTATAACAGTATGTAAATGATATATAGCTTATGCAACAAAAAGAAGGACTTATAGCTAGTGATTTGTAATGGCGATGTTTCCAGATTTTTATGATTGTTTTATTATCATTTCTTTACTTCATGTTACGTGCTTTTCTGTTGTGTTGTTGTGGTACAGAAATACCGCGTTCCTCCCAGACCAAGACCTATTTGAGATAAACGTTCCAGGATATCGCTCACAGCACCTATAAGAATTACGAAGATACAGATCATCAGAAGATGAAGGGAAGGCACAGGTTTCACAAGTGAATGTGCTGATCAGAACATTCATTTCCCCAGAGGTTTATAGAAAGCTATGCTTGATCTACTGGGGACCGCAGCAAGTCAGGAAGACAGGAGTGCTTTTTCTTGAGGAAACACAAGCCCCAGTCAATCGAGTGACTGACTGAAGTATGAGGGAAACTTCTTGGGACTCTTGCAAGCAAAAGGGGTGACCCCCAAACAAACAGCACATAAGTTTCTGTCCTCTAGGCATAGAGTATGTGGTCTAAGGACCAGTCTACGAGTGAGGGATTCTTCTTTCTTCAGGGAGACTGAAGCAAATTTGAATATGGACATGGGATGATACTGTGGCTCTATTTGGAAGCAAATTTATTTGATTTCACTTTGTATCTGGGTCTCTTCCTTTCCATATTGGTAGCCTGTGTCTCTGTTGTCTTTCGTGTAAGATGGCCTTGTTTCCATTACTGTGCGGGTAGCTATAAAAAGTAATTAATCCGTTCCTAATTTTTAAAATTTGGCTACTATGTTTTCTGCACAGTCATCACAAGAGACCTTTAAATGCTGAACATAAGAAATACAGTAAAAGTGCTGCTTTTATAGGCTATGTTTCTTTATGTAGCGAAACTTTCTCTTGTGCTTAGCTTTTTGATGGAATTATCAACTGTAGACTGGTTTTGCTAGCCAAGGTCTAGGTATCCAGTCCCAAGCATTTCTTGCTGTGCAAACTGAAGCTATCGCTTGCTGCTTGGCTCCAGAGAAGAGGATAATCAGGCTGCTCGTGTTATCATTATCATCAGCCTGCTGATTATCTCTCATTCTCCTGCTTGCATGCGGTGAATCTACTAGAAGTTCAGGCAGTCTTAAACTGTAGAGGTTAGTTGTCTGTTGTGAAACTCAGGAATTAGAACCTTTAACTTACCTCACACAATAACTACATGATTACAGTTTGCAAAGAGCTGTGTCTGGCTTTCAGACTACTTCATTAAGAGTTAATTTATATGCAAGTTTGGTTTTCCAAAAAAACAACACACATGACTGATCCACCCTATCATAAATTTTTGTAATGATAAGGCGGTGCAGGCTCATCTAAAATTCCTTCCAAAGGTGGCGTCAGATTTTTACTTTACTCATCCTAACCATCTTTTCCTTCCCTGTGTTTTCATTGTAACAAAGCATTGTTTATATGAGCTGGATCCTAATAGTTCTACTCCCACCCCACCGGCACTTTGCAGCCTGTTGTAGATTATCATCGCTAATGCTTCAGTTTGGATTTTTCCTTTTTTTTTTTTTTCCTTTTTTTTCTTTTAAGAGAAATTTCCTCATAATTCTTTCCTTGAAGCAGCTTTCCTCAACACTTCACTTCAGGTTTGTGGCTGATGGTGCGAGGAGGCAGAAGCACTTCAGAGATTGCTTTTTTGGCTGACTAGGAATCGGACAATTCAGCTTGCAGTCCATCAGAGGTGACTGAGGGAGAAGCAGAAAGGAGGAGGCATCTAAAACATATTTGGGAGTGAGTTGTCAGAAGGAAGAAGCTGACTTCGATCTGTTTGCTGTTGAGGGCGGAGGTGAGGGAGCCTTGAGAGCTTAGCTAGTGTGCGGGTGCCGGCAGGCTCGGCAGAGAGCGAGTGCTGCTGGGAGAAACAGTGGTGTAGACAGGAGAAAATTTGAAGGTGGTAGGGAATCTTTGTTTCCCTTCTTCTCATCCCTTCTCCGTGATAGAAATGAAGTACACCTATAAGATTTTAAAGAACGTGTGGAGAAGGGCTGACAGCAGGTGCTGGTGAGGAGTCAAGGTGTTTCCTTTTGCTTTGCCCTAACAGAAGCACATGCATAACTGATCAAAGTGAAATACTGTGCGCTCTCGCTGCCACCTTACCTCCCCATGATGAAATCTAGGCAAAATGCTTGCAATCTACTTTATGCATCTAGAAAGTCAAACAACGTAATCCTATCAATGAGATGAGCTATGGAGTAGTCACATGGCTTCCTTCAGAGCTCCTATGCCATACCTGCCCTGTAGGTATTTTCCTCAACAGATCATCCATCATTAGGAGACCCTCCAATGTGCTTTGAGGGTCTGCGAGGTGGAAAGCTGTTGTGCTGATAAATCTTCCATTGGGAGTTAGGATATTGCCTAGAGCCGAAGTGCGAGTCGTGCTGGCTCGTGCAGTCGTAACACACAAGATGTGTGGGTTTGGTGTTTGGTCAGGTGAAATTAGGGTGAAGTCGGAGTAAACTCAAGAAAAAACAGATATGGGGAGAAAGGTTGTCCTTATTTGACTTTAGAGTGTATGTGTGGGCTACTAGAAGCATAGCAAGAAATGCATTGTTTCCTACACAGTACCATCGAAAGTATTTGAAAATCCAGGTAGCGCTCTCAGTATTCATTCGTAGCTGACGTGTTGCCTAGCTTTTCCAACTAGATCCAGAGATGATAGGATGGAAGTTTTTTAGCTTTAAGATGTGTTCTCAGGCCCCGATGGTCACTTACGCGTTTTTTGGCATTCAAAAATTAAGCAGCCACAAAATGCAGCTGGAATCTATTTATGCATTATGATGAAGAACGTGGCTCCTATCTAGTCCATAAAATTGAGGCATTTTAAAAAAAGAGTTATTTCTAAGAAAATTTGCTAATTAATATAATGCAGGAATTTAGTGTTGAGCTAGAATTTCTGCTGTCTGGTTGTCGTACAGGGTGGATTTCTTTGTGTATTTTGTGTGTGTGGTTTTTTTGCTTATTTGTTTGGTTTATGAGCAAATGGCAGGACCCTGATTTCAGTTTACCAGGAAAAAAAACATATTGATGTTCTGAAAGGGCCTAGGAGTTTGTGTGCAGATACTTTTGTGTGCTTTTCATAATATATTCAGACTGGAAGTTTGATGGGAAGGATGTATAGTGGTCTACAAGAAATGTGAGGTGTAGTTCAGAAAGTTGGGCCAGGATCCACTGTCCTAAACAACAAGCTTTCCTTCACCTTTATATCCAATTTTCTAACAGTAACTTCAGATTTAGCCTAGCTGTTCATCTTTTGTTTTTTAGTGAACCTGGTAAAACTAGCCTCTTGTAACGCCTATCTTGCAATGTTTTATATTTTTTTCTTAATTATAACATTTTACAATTATTATTCTTTGCAAAAATAAAACTCACTTTCTCTGATGTCAGGGTTTGTTTTTTTTTTTTTAAATGGGACAGAGTGGTTTTTAGTAGAAAGCTACAAGTCACTGTTGAACATCAGTTTAACTCAACCTAGAGTGAAGAAACACCTTATTGATTCATCAGATGGCTTGGAACCATTAAAGATTACTTACTTATCTCATTAATCAGCATTCTCTTCTTTTGTTACAGCAGTTACAGAAATAGCCCACAAAATAAGAGGCTTGTGTTCAGTTAACCAATTTTGTAAGGACATCTCTTAAAAAATAATTCAGAAGAAAACCATAAACTGCACAATTAGTCAAATTAGGTATTGCTGTAAATTCTTCAAATTGCGTGAAAATAGATGTAGTTCAAATGTTATACAGTGCATCCACTCTTAATTATGGTAGTTATGTCTAAATATTGAAATGTTACAATAGTGTTAAATAGCTTTATCCTTGTTCTAAATTAAATTCTTTCTGGCAAAGAATTTTTTTGTTTGTTTGTTTCTATTGTGTTGCAGACTCTCCTTCAGATTTTTGGTGTGGTGGCTGTGGCTGTGGCAGTGATTCCCTGGATACTCATCCCCTTAATTCCACTATTTATTCTTTTCATTTTTCTTCGACGATATTTCTTAGACACTTCAAGAGATATTAAACGTCTGGAATCCACAAGTATGTAGTTTGGTGGAACTTGATGTTAGCTTGAACCCTGCTTATGATTATATTCAATGCTAACATTTTATAGACAATTCATTGATTAGTTTTTCTTTGGCTTTGCAAATAAATTCCTTATTGCCTTGGGTCTGAACTAGTGAAATACATGCCTAACTCCTGCTTTTGCATAATGATAAATTTTGGGTATGTCAGTTTAACTATAAGTAAATGAAGTTAGTTAAGAACTTGTGTATGTTGCTGGCTTTGGGACCTTACATGTACATAGTAATGGTGGTTCTGATCTAACTGAGTAAGAGGACTTTGGATAAAGATACTGCGTATTTATTCTAAAAGGATGCAGTACAGTAACTGGTATGGTTAAATATATAGGGTTAAAGATTAGCATAGTACAGAAAGAATTAAATGTTACCCTTCAGCTATTACTCAGTTACTCTCATTTCCCTTTGTAGCTCGAAGTCCAGTGTTCTCCCACTTGTCATCATCCCTTCAGGGACTTTGGACTATACGGGCTTTGAAAGCAGAGGAAAGATTTCAAAAGTTATTTGATGCACACCAAGACCTCCACTCAGGTTTGTGATGAATGGACATGAAAAATCAAATGCTTTGCTCTGTAGGAGGGAAATATCTTACGCCCTCAGCAACATGTATGTAATGTACATTAAAATCGGTGGGAGCTGTGCATTTGTCTCTTTAGGGTAAAATTTCTCTATTAGAACAAAAAAACTTACTATCTGTGTAGATTTTGAGAGTTTACTGTAATATAATTTCAAATACCCATGCATATGTTTTAACAATGTTGCAGATAAACATTTTAAAGTATGCCTGATAAGAATATTTAAAGAATCAGTTTTGACATTTTCCTGGATTTGGTCTTATTTAAAAAAAAAAAAAAAAAAAGCGATAAACAAGCTAAACTATATTAGGAAGCATTTAATATTAGGTAGTGTGCTAGAAGTAGGCAAAGATATTTAATATAAATCATCTTTCTGGAAAAGTTTTGTTAATTTCTCATCTTTTTTACTTTGAGCAACTTTCAGAGCTCAAATTGAATATACAGTATTAGCATAACCAGAAGGAGTAAAATAATAGTATTCTACAAGCAAAAGTAATATATTTTAGGTTTGTACTATGACTCCTTATCCCTTCTACCAATTAAATTTCTAACTAACTGAAAGTGTTACCAGCTCTCTATTTAAAATGTTCTTCAAGATGCAGCAGAAGTTCTAGACCAATGGACAAGAATGCAAACTCGTGATTTTGTGTTTGTTAGATAAGTTCTTGAGTTTTCCTCTGTCATAAGATACACAAGTGTATCCTACGGCTTTTTTTTTAATTGATACACTTAAAGTTTCCGGCCAGAATAGACCAGCTGATCTTGTCTGAAGTATTGTTTATCACAGGTCACAGAATTTGATGAGCACAGTGACTTGTTTGTGGGTAAAACATACCTTCCAAGAAGGCACGTCAAGCTTTGAATTCCCCTTTTCTTAGTATTTTCAAGCCGTTACCTATCCGGCCAAATCAATTCGAAGTTAGCTGGTGGTGAAGGAGAACGAAGTTGCTTCCTAAGTTTTATAGGAAAAGATACCTTGAGTGGATAAACTGCATGTACAAGATTCACCATACAAAGAGGAATGTGACCTTTAAAATAAATCATTTTTGTATTTTATGGTCAGATCTAAGGTACATAAGCATGTCATTTTTCCACTGTATTTTATGCATCTAACTCTTAACAAAATGATTCATAAGTCTGCTGATTTATGCATGTGTAATATGCAGCTGCACTGTTCAGGAGCATGCTTTTGAGATAAAATATAAGTGCGTAAAGCTGCACTGGTTTGTGTACCTACACTTCTCGTCTTGATGCCTTTCCTACCTAAATATCAAAGTATACCAGCTCATTTAGTGCGAATGGGTTTTAGTGTGTGTGTGGTTTTAGATTCTTTGTGGGAACGTGAGCCAGCAGTGTGCCTGGACAGCAAAGGTGACCAACAGCATCCTGGGCTATATTAACAGGAGCACTGCCAGTAGATTGACGGAATGGACTATCCTCCTCAGCACTCGTTAGACCACATCTAGAATACTGCATCCTGTTTTGGACCACCAAATACAGGAAGGACATTAACAAACTGGAGTGAGCTCGGTGGAGGGCTGTTAAGATGGTTAGGGGACTCTGAGGAAAGGCCTCCATATGATGAGAGGCTGAAGAAACTGTGCTTGTTCAGCCTGGGAAAGAGAAGGCTTCGAGAAGATCTAATAGCTGCCTTCAAGCATCTACAAGGATGTTATCAAGAACGAGGAGCCAGGTTCTTCACAGTGATCTGTGGTAGGAGGAGAGAGGAAAGCAAGTATAAGTTGAAATGAGAAATTACATGTGAGGAGAAACTTTTTCACCGTGAAGACAGTCAAGCAGTGGAGCAGATTGCCCAGAGAAATCTCACTTTTTGGAGATTTTCAAAACCCAACCTAGATAAAGCTCTGAGCAACCTGGTCCAACCTCATAGCTGATTCTTCTTTGTGCAGGTGATTAGAATAGCGATTTCCTGAGTTTCCTTTCAACCTGAATGATCCTGTGATCCTAAATGTGCTCCAACCATAACTGATAGGAGAGGATACCTTCCATGCTTGCTCAGAAAGTTGGAGTCCTGGGTTCTTAAGCTGCTCCTCAGCTGAAGAGATATGAACTCTTTCCTGCTTCACAGAAGGCTCTCCCATCCAGCAGTAGTTTTTTCAGTGGTTCTGGCTGGAGCGCTTTGCTCCTCTCTATACGAGGCTGAGCTTGGGAAACAAGACCTTGGGAGCCCTGTTTCAGGGCTTGCCTATCAATTTGGTATTAAATAGTCTTTAGATAAGAAAACAAAATAAAACACCTAAAAGGCATGATGGAAGATTGACCTAGGGCTAAGCTACCTTCCTGCTAGTGCAGCACGTCTCTCACCAAGCTAATCAAAAGTTCCATCCTGATGAGTCCCCATGAAGGCTGCATTTCTGCGTGCACAGCGGCCCCGATTGCACAGCGGCCCCGATTACACACCAGAAGGCTGCAGAATGGCCTGTCTCAAGCTAGCAGTTTAGTGCACCTTCCTGGACAATAGGACCAGTAGAGCACAATCTTGGATCTGAAAATCTGCAACCCAAGTGTTCCATTTTATGGTCTTACACCATAGGCTATTGCACCAAAAATGACCCCCTGTCTAAGTGTAGGAACGTGTTGCAGGCTTGGTTTCTAGGGGCACTTGTCTCCTGCGCTTCAGAGCAGTACCTAACTCACCATGATAAATTCTGTTTCTGCAACTAGGTTTGTGACTTTATATGGCCCTTCTTTCGGTATATGTAATTCCATGTGCCTAGGTGTATGACCAGGCACATACACCTTTATCTTTCCATTAGACCATATCAAATGTCGTTTGTTTAATGAAGCCATGTGGTCAAGCACACAGTTACTATAGAGTGAGACTAACAGACTACCAGATCTAGAACTTCCTTGGCTGCCTGTTATCTCCTCTTTTCCTCCATGGTCCTCCAGAAGTTACATGCAATCCTGTTGGCTGAGTTTTTGGTTTGATCACTCCTTAATCTGGCTATCCAAATGATCTGGCTTTAAACTGGACTTATCTCCTCTCCTTATTATCATAAGGTTTTTTTTACTTTGAATCTTTCCCAGCACTCATCTAAGGAACAGTTAAACAGTTCAAACAGCACTAATTTTTAGCATGGAGTAATGACAAGCAATGCTGAAGGGGTTGGAATAGTAACCTTTTACTATGATTTGGTAGCAGCTGGAATGATTCGTCTGCAGCCTAAGCAATAAATAATGCAGTATTTGGTGATGGCTATTTGACTTCTGGTTTTGGCCATGAACTCAAACACTTTCCCTTCTGTCTTACAATGCCTTTATGCTATTATCCCCTGTATATTGTACTGTGGAATATCTGGGATGGAATTCAGCACTGAATTGGGACATGTAAATGTAAGTGCCCGCCCAGTGGGGATGTCCATCTGTGAAGTCCTCCAAAACTAAATGTGTGCATTTGGTCAGCTGAATAGCCCTGCAGCTCCACTAACTGTTGACTAGATCTCCTCTGCCTATAATGGGAGCTTAACCCCAGCCCAGCTGCCTTCTAAAGACTTCATTCAGACAAGCGTGTTGTGATGCAGTTTGTCTAAAACAGCCTGTAGATTATTACAGAATCACAGAATCGTTTAGGTTGGAAGGGACCTCTGGAGATCATCTAGTCCAACCCCCCTGCTCAAGCAGGGTCACCTAGAGCATATTGCCCAGGATCACATCCACATGGGTTCTGAATATCTCCAGGGAAGGAGACTCCACTACCTCTCTGGGCAACCTGTTCCAATGCTCTGTCACCCTCACAGTGAAGAAGTTTTTTTCTCAGGTTTAGGTGGAACTGCCTGTGCTTCAGTTTGTGCCCGTTGCCTCCCATCCTGTCACTGGGCACCACGGAGAAGAGGCTGGCTTCATCCTCTCGACACTCCTCCTTCAGATACTCGTACACCTTGATGAGATCGCCTCTCAGTCTTCTCTTCTCCAGGCTGAACAGGCCCAGCTCTCGCAGCCTTCCTTCATAGGAGAGATGCTCCGGTCCCCTCATCATCTTGGTAGCCCTCTGCTGGACTCTCTCCAGGAGTGCCATGTCTCTCTTGTCCTGGGGAGCCCAGAACTGGACACAGTACTCCAGGTGAGGCCTCCCCAGGGCTGAGGAGAGGGGCAGGATCACCTCCCTCCACCTGCTGGCAACACTCTGCCTAATGCACCCCAGGATCCCATTGGCCTTCTTGGCCACAAGGGCACACTGCTGGCTCATGCTTAACTTGTTGTCCACCAGCACTCCCAGGTCCTTCTCGGCAGAGCTACTTCCCAACAGGTCAGTCCCCAGCCTGTACTGGTGCATGGGATTATTCCTGCCTAGGTGCAGGACCTTGCACTTGCCTTTGCTGAACTTCAGGAGGTTCCTCTCCACCCAGCTCTCCAGCCTGTCCAGGTCCCTCGGAATGGCAGCACAGTCTTCTGGTGTGTCAGC